ACTGCAGCCTGGGTGACAGAATGAGACCTTGTGTCTTTGAAAAAAAAATAAAAAAAAAAAAAAAGAGTCTTTACTATAATTGTACCGGTTTTGGAAAGGGACATCTGGAAGGAAGTTGTTCTGCTGTGCCTGGCCAAATAAATCCCAACCTGTTTGCAGGGATAACAAGTTAGAAAGAACGAGAGAAAATGCAAACTATTTAATATCTTCCAGCTAGGAATGGAGGTAGTGACCGAAGGGAAAAGAGAAGATAGGTCTGGCTCCTGAGGCCTTGGGAAGACTGGGAAAACTTGGAAAGATTTGGGCAGAATTGGAAAAGGAGTGAACCAGATATTGGAAGATCATTTGCTGTGGCTCACTGCCACTTGAAATTGAATTGTGTGAGGGGGAAAGTGCTTCTCAGCAGGTTTGATGGAATAGGGAGTTTTTGAGAATTCAGGTGAAGAGTTCCATTCAGTCCGTGTGGCCTGTGGCAGGATAAATCTCATCAAAGGGCAAGTCCGAAGACCTGATCTAGTTCCTGGACCCAGCCTAAGTGCTTGCCTTGATGTAAATTATCACTCTTCCATATGTTTCACTTTCATCTTTAATAAAAAGAAAATGATAATAACTGCCCTGTCTCTGTGGATTTCGGTATCAAATAAAATAAGACATTAGAAATGCCCTTTGTCAACCGGGACTGTGGCCTATAATCTTAGCACTTTGGGAGGCTGAGGCAGGTGGATCACTTGAGGTCAGGAGATGGACCCTGGGAAATATGGCGAAATGCGGTCTAAATACAAAAATATAAAACACAAAATACAAAAATGCAAAAATTTAGCCAGGCGTGGTGGTACACGCCTATAACCCCAGCTACTTGAGAGGTTAAGGGGTAGGACTGCTTGGATTTAGGAAGTGGAGGTTGCAATGAGCCAAGATCCTCCACTGCACTCCAGCCTGGGTGACAGAGCAAGACCCTGTCTCAAGAACAAAAAAATAAGGAAAGAAAAGAAATGCCCTTTGTTGTACTGTTTAAGATCACATTACCTTTGCAATATTATCTCTTGTAAATTATCTATTCCAGGAACATGGATATAGTCACTGACTCCAGTAAACCTTTCACTTTCAGCCAGAAACCTTGGTTTCTCCCTGGACTTCCTCTCTTTCCTGTTTAAACTCCCAGTCTCTCCCTGTTTAAACTGTAAATTTTAATGCCTCTAGTATCCTAATGAAGTCATTTTAAATGGTAAACAGTCTTCATTTCCCTTTTCTAAATGAAGAGCAGGTTACAGTTTGGGGCACAGTCACTTCCAGCTGTGGTATAAGGGTTAATCAAATTTATTTCAGTATGAATTTCTGTTAATACCTAACCATTAGACCTGCTTGCAGCTAGTTTCTCAGATCAGAGGTCAGAATTAAGCTTTTAATGTTTTAGAGTTTTAAACTTTTAGAGTTTTCCTTGAGAAGCTCCAGATTTTCAGTATAAGGAGTTAAGAGAAATGGAAGATCCCTCTGACATTTTGTCATTACGAATTTTAATAACTTCAACTTCCAATTTTACATGTTTGACACGTAACTTTGCTTTCCTTTGATCATCAAAATTAAAAATAATTTCTAATAGTAGAAAAAATGGGTAAGAATTTGCTAGTTTGATATGGTCAACTAATTTTTGACAAGGGCACCAAGAAGACACAATGGGGAAAGGATAGTCTCTTCAATAAATGTTGCCGGGAAAATGATTTCCATATGCCAAAAGAATGAAATTGGACCTTATGTTATACCATATACAAAAATAAACTCAAAATGGATAAAATACCTAAATATAAGAACAAAAATTATAAAACTATACCAAAGGAAGTGAAATCACCACCTTAAAAAGATATTTGTACTCCCATGTTCATTGTACCATTATTCCCAATTTCCAAAATACAGAAACAGCCTAAGTGTTGACGTATGAATGGATAAAGAAACAGAAACTTTAGTACACACAATGGAATATTATTGAGCCCTAAAAAAAACAAAATCTTGCCAAATGCCACAATATGATTGAGCCTGGAAGACATTATGCTAAGTGAAACAAGCCAGACACAGAAAGAGAAATATTGTGTGATCTTGATCCCACTTATACAGGGAATCTGAAAAAAAATTCAGAGACAGAGAACAAAACTGGCTATCAGGAGTTTTTATCCCCTCTGGGGATAAAGAGGAGGAAATGAGAAGAGGCAGGTCAAAGGATACAACATTACAGCTTGGGAAGATGAGCTGGTCTAGAGATCTAATGCACAACCTGAGGGGTATAGGTTAAAAAAATTGAACTGGGCCAGGCACGGTGGCTCAAGCCTGTAATCCCAGCACTTTGGGAGGCCGAGGCGGGTGGATCACGAGGTCAAGAGATCGAGACCATCCTGGTCAACATGGTGAAACCCCGTCTCTACTAAAAATACAAAAAAAAAAATTAGCTGGGCATGGTGGTGCGTGCCTGTAATCCCAGCTACTCAGGAGGCTGAGGCAGGAATTGCCTGAACCCAGGAGGCGGAGGTTGCGGTGAGCCCAGATCGCACCATTGCACTCTAGCCTGGGTAACATGAGTGAAACTCCATCTCAAAAAAAAAAAAAGAAATTGAACTGTAAAATGAATACATTTTAGCTGCTCTTGTCACAAAAACAAAAAAATGGGTAACTATGGAAATGATGGATATGTTAATTTGCTTCAGTATAGTACCATGTCTATCTTCATATCCCTTAACATCATGTTGTATACATAATAAAATGTATCTTTGAAAAAGAATTTACTAGTTTGAAAAGAGTTAACAGAATTGTTCTCTGCAAAACACTTTGGGATTCTTTCAAAAGATTCTAGGTGGGATGTGTTGTTTTTCATTTTTATACTGTCACGATGATTGTTCAGTTTTCTGTTTACCCTTTCTTAAATTGTTTCATAGCTTCCAGCATAAACTTTTGAGAACGTGCTTATTGGAACTGAATTTGATATTTTATTTATTTTATTTTTTGAAACAGGGCCTCGCTCTGTCAGCCAGGCTGGAGTGCAGTAACACCATCACTGCTCACTGCAGCCTTGACTTCCCCAGGCTAGGGCAATCCTCCCACTTCAGCCTCCTAAGTAGCTGGAACTACAAGCATACGCCACTTCACTGGGCTAATTTTTATATTTTTTGTAGAGATGGGGTTCACCATGTTGCCCAGGCTGGTCTTGAATTCTTGGGCTTAAGCAATCTGCCCAAACTTCATCTCCCAAAGTGATAGGATTATAGGCGTGAGCCACTGTGCCTGACCTGTGATTTTCTCCTTACTAGTTTTCATTGATTTGATTATGATGTGCCTTGGTGGAGTTTTAAAAAATATTTATTCTGTTTGGGGTTTGTTGAGCTTCTTGGACATGTGGGTTTATAAATTTCATCAACTTTGGAAATTTTTCATCCTTTATTTCTTTTTATATTTGTCATGCCCCATTCGCTCTTTTTTTTAAGACTCCAGTTGCTTATGCGCTAGACTGCTTTCTGTTGTCTCACCGCTTGCTGAAGCACAGTTCAATTATTTTTAGGTCGTTTTTCTTCCGTCATTTTGGATAGTTTCCCTTGGTAGTATATTGGTACATGCTCACTGATCTTCTGTGGTATCTAATATGCTGTTGATATCACTCAGTTTATTTTACAATTCAAATATTGTATTTTTCATTTCTAGAGGTTTCACTTGAGTCTTTTCTTCCATTTCTGCTTATAATGTTCATGTTTTCCTCTACTTTCTTGAACATGTGGAGCATATTTATAATAAAAAATTTGATGTCCTCATTTGCTAATTATATTATTTCTGTTCATATTGATTCTGATTACATTCTGATTATATTGATTTTACTCCTAGTTGTCTATTATATTTTCCTGCTTCTTTGCATTACTGGTAATTTTTTACTGAATGCCAAACCTTGTGAATTTTACATTTGGAAATACTAGATTTTTTTCCCCTAAGACGTACTATGTGCTGGCTGCAGTTAAGTTGCCAGGAATTACTTGAATCCTTTTGAGGCCGGATTTTAAGTTTCGTTAGGGAAGCTGTCCAGAGAAGCCTTCAGTCTAGGGTTAAGTTATGCCTGCTGATTCTGAGAACTTTACCCAATGTCCCAAGTGTTAATGAGGCTTTCTGCTTTGCCTGGCGGGAGCATGAATGTCCCAGCCTTGTATGAGCTTTGAGAATTGTCTGACCTTCTGCATTGCAGTGCTTCCCTCCCTGGCCTTTGTTAATTTTGTCTCATTCAGGCACAGGTGAGTTCTCAGCCAAAGACTGAGAGATACCCTTCTGTAAGGCCTCCACAACTTGTGTTCCTCCCTCTGTGCAACTCTGTCCTCACAGGTACTCTGCTTTACAAATCCTAACTGCCTTGTCCTTCCTGACCTTGTGTTTCTCTTCAACACAGCAAGATTGCTGGACTCTGTTCTGGTCCCATTCCTGCACTATGGCCTGGAAACTGACTCTGGGAAGTTAGCTGGTGCAGTCGCAGGGCTTATCTCATTTGTTTACTCAAATAAACAGGGATCACAAGCCTGCACTGCCTATAATGTCTGAAAACGTTTTTTTCATATATTTTATTGCCTTTCTAGTTATGTAAGGTGGGAGTAAATCTAGTCCCCGTTACTCCACCATGAGTGGAAGCAGAGGTCGGCAATTGGCCCCCAAGGTCTTTTTTTACAGTAAAAATTGAATGAGTAATTTCAAATCTGTGGCACATATGCACAGTATTATATTAAAAGAGCCATGGATGTAGGAATCAAGATCAGGGGCCTAATCCGTGTTCAGTCATTTAACTTTGTGCTTCTCACATTATGGACTTCTGTGACCCTCTACTTAGATGTCTTAAAGCAATTAATTTGATTTCTGAATTTAATTCTCATCTGTAGAATGAGGGTTAGGAATGTTCTTTAAACACAAAGTTCAAAGCCTTAGGTGGAGCTATTTTCAAAAAGCTTATTATCACGTAACAATCTTTATTTTATTTACATATTTTATAGGCACCATACTGGGCATACCTTTTATGTGCACTGGGACTTTTTATCTACCAGTCACTGGATGCTATTGATGGAAAACAAGCCAGAAGAACAAATTCTTGTTCTCCTTTAGGGGAACTCTTTGACCATGGTTGTGACTCTCTTTCCACAGGTAAATTATTGAAGTTTTTTTTAAATGATACCTTAGAAACAAAATGAACTGAGCTGTTTGAATGGTCAGTTTTCTGGGTGGATACATTTGGAAGCAAATAATGCAGTTGTTTAAAAAATATGTCCAAGAATTCTTTTTGATAAGTGTACCTTATTTTAATGCCATGATTATTTCCTTAAAACTCTATATTTGTAAACAGCATAGGGCAATTATTTTATAAATTATTTTTAATTCTTAATGGTTCTTAAACTTTGTTTCTTTCAGTATTTATGGCAGTGGGAGCTTCAATTGCTGCTCGCTTAGGAACTCATCCTGACTGGTTGTTTTTCTGCTCTTTTATTGGGATGTTTGTGTTTTATTGTGCTCATTGGCAGACTTATGTTTCAGGCGTGTTGAGATTTGGAAAGTAAGTGTGTTTTTTAAGTTGTGCATTTTAAAATATAATTGAATTCATTTTCACAATCTGTTACATCATTCATCGATAATAAAGAGAACAAAGCATCAATCAGTAATTTAAATTAATTCATTGGAGTATCTATAAATGCTATACTTTTAAGTCTTTTAGGTATTCTGCATGTTATAGTTACATTATTTGATAATAATTTTATTTCTCTTCTCCCCTTCTCCAACTTAATCACTAGCCCAAGTTTACAATAGAGAGGGAAAAAAGAAAATTAAGGGACCTGAATAATATAGAAAAAGGATATGCAGTACTTAAATAAGCATTTGATTCATATAATAAAATAAAGCAGTATGGAGTCTAAGGTCCTTTTTTGGTCGAATCTTCATGTGCACAAAAAGGGGACCCTCCCTTGACAACAGTCACCAGCAACAGGTAATCGTGAGACTCTCAGCTGTGGTAGACAATTAGTGAGATAAGGTAAAGGCACCTTGTGAATGCTAGTGCTAACCATTAGATAGTATTATCTGCCTCTGGTGCATCTTTCTTAGAGACCAGGAAATAGTACACAAAGCAGGAATGCTCTTCTCTGTTCCTCTTTCTCATATAGCTCCCTCTCGGTCTGATCCTTTTAAGAACTTTGTCATTTTTTGTCATCCTTTTAAGAACAAGCTCATTCTTGGCTTTGGCTTCCCATGTCTACTGATTCTTTTTAGCCCCACTTTATTGCTGAAAAGGGAAACTGTAGCTTTGAAAAAAATCTCTAATGATAAATGACAGAAGCAGCTCAAAACTATGCATCATTAAGCAGAGGGCCAGGCTTCAGGCAGTTGATTCTAAATCATGGCATAATTGTATTTACCACCTATCGAGCACCTACATATTTCAGGCATTGTACAAAGTGCTTCACATGGATTATCTTATTTATTCCTCACATTTACCCTGTAAGGCGGGTATTGCCTCCATCTAAAGACGTTGGAGCATCCGGCAGAGATGTAAAGTATGTGGACAGATATAAAAATCTGGAGCTCAGGAAAAAAATGTAGATTGGAGATGAGGATTTAGAGGTCATTAGCATATAGAAGGTAGTTTTAAGTATAGATAAAATTCTTCACAGACTATAAAATTCCAGATGGAATTCTGAAAGCACCATTTAAGATATAGATGAAGAGGCAGTCTAGGAAGGAGCGTGAGAAGAGCTCCAGAAAGGTAGGAAAATCAGGAGAGAACATGGAATAGATAAAAGCACAGCAGAGCTTTTCAAGAAAGAGAGTATGATTAGCATCTTAAATACTATAAAGAAGTTATGTAAGATAATTAATGAAATGTATCCCTTAGATTTGTATCCCTTAATTGAAATTGAAAATTGAAGGTCAATTTAACAATTTTAGTAGAATAATGGGGCCGAAAGCCAGACTACAGTGGGTTAAACAGCAAATACGAAGAGAGGAGAAAATTACAAATGTTGACTAATTTTCAGTGAGCCTATTCGTGGAGCATAGGAAAGAGAGTGACAGCTTCAGGGGAATGCAGACTAGAGGTACTGATGTTGGTTGGTTAGTGGTTTTTTGAGAAATTTAAACATGTTAATTAGGGGGAAAATGTCTATGGAAACTGAAAAACTATAATGACTATTAGTACCTCAATAAAGAAGACTTGGAATTTTCACTGCTTTTTAAGTGAAACTGACCTGGGAATATTTAAATTTGCCTTAAATCGTATGGTTGTTTTTATTATATTTTTTTATTATGTTCAAGAGTAGTAAGTAATTGTTGTAGAAAAAACTTCAGATATTACAGGGGTACATAAAGTAGAAAATAAAAGTCTTCATAACTTCAGTGATAACTATTAGCAATTTGATGTATGGTATATGTTGTTTTTCTCTCTGCCTGTACTGTTATCTATGAGTGGGCACAAATTGTTCTGTAACCTTTTTAACTTAACAATGTAGTCAGCTGATAATTCAATAATGGAATTAAAGGTAAAAATAAACTAAGCCTTTAGAGATTTTTACATCTTTGCTATTTAATATGTGATTAACCTCCATATTCAGGAATTTTATTTACAAATGCCTTATCTATTCTTTGTCCTTCCTCTTTCAGAGTGGATGTAACTGAAATTCAGATAGCTTTAGTGATTGTCTTTGTGTTGTCTGCATTTGGAGGAGCAACAATGTGGGACTATACGGTAAATGCGAATATTTAAATTTATATTTAAGTACTTTTAAAGTATTTAGAAAAAAGTATTGCATTGTTAATTTTTTTCACAAATCCTTAGCATTGTATTTAATTTTTTTCTTTTTTTATTGGTGTATTTAATATTTTTTCCATGTCTTAACATTTTTTCTTTTATAATGTGTATTATCCTGTATGCCTTATGGCATTTTCTCCTGTGCATGAATGTATTGCCACATGGAAGAAAACAACCTCATTTCCCTAATACCAAATAAAACAAAAACAACAACAAAAAACCCACATTGGAATAACATTTTCCAGGGTGAAATAAAATATATATTTAAAAAATAAATCCAGTAAAATATTTTACATATAAAACTTGTCCCTCGATATTAGGAAAGTAGTTCAGTTGCATTTTTATAATCTACTTTGAGGTAAAGATTTCCATATTAAGGAACGTTTTTATTTTCTGCCCAGTTGGTGACCTCAGTATTTTCATAAAAGTTGGCTTTTGGGAGGCCACTGTCATAAATTTAAGCTGTTTTTGCAAAAGAACATTTCTGAAGGAACAATTGTCCTCTTATCACAACTTAAGTCCACTATACTGGCTAACTGACTCAACACTTTCTGCTCATAGTGTTAAGAACAACAATAAGGGTATTAAGAGTCAACAACTAGGTCATTCAATACTTATGCTCCTAAACACTTGCCATCAGTTTTATCTGCCCCTCAGAAGAATCCTATGAAATAGATATTTTTATTATTCTGCTTTATAAATAAGTCTTAGGGTAATTAAGTAATTTATCCAAGGACACATGAGAAGTACTGGAGCTAGGAATTAAACAGTCTGATTTCAGACTGTAATCACTAAGCTGTATATCTAGTAAAAATAGTAAATGATACAGAACTAAACATACTTTTACCACATGATCAGCAGTCACACTCCTTGTTATTAACCTAAATGATTTGAAAACTTAGGTCTACAGAAAAACCTGTATGCAAATGTTTATAGCAGCTTTATTCATAATTGCCAAAACTTGAAAGCAACTAAGACGTCCTTCAGTAGGTGAATGGATAAATGATGCTAAAAAGAAATGAGCTATCAAGCCATGAGAAGAAGTTATGCAAGGAACTTATGGAGTTCCAAGAAGTTATGAAGGAACCTTAAATGTTTATTACTAAGAGAAATAAGTCAATCTGAAAAGGCTGCATATTGTGTGATTCCAACTGTATGACATTCTTTAAAAATGCAAAATTATAGAGACAGTAAAATGATAAAGAAGTTTCCAGGGGTTGGAGGAGGAAGGGATGAATAGGTGAAGCACAGAGAATTTTTAGGGCAGTAAAACTATTTTGTATGATACTAAATAGTGGCTACATGTCATTATACATTTGTCATAGCACATAGAATGTACAATACAAAGATTGAACTCTAATGTAAACTATGAACTTTGGGTGATAATGATGTGTCAATGTAGGTTCACTACTTGTAACAAATGTACCACTCTGGTGTAGGATGTTGTTGGCAGGGGAAGGGGTGGCTATATCCTTTTCCACTCAAATTCTGTTGCAAGCCTAAAACCACTCTAAAAAATTAACTCCATTAAAAAGACAGTATGAGGCCAGGAGTTCAAGACCAGCCTGGGCAACATAGCAAGACCTTGTCTCTACAAAAATTCTTTTAAATTTTAGCTGGGCATGGTAGCATGTCCCTGTAATCCCAGCTACTCAGGAGGCTGAGGCAGGTGGGTTGATTGAGCCCAGGAATTGGAGGCTACAGTGAGCCATGATCATGCCACTGACTACACTCCTGCCTGAGTGACAGAGCAAGACCCCTCCTCTTTTTTTTTTTTTTTATTAAAGAGTTCCCTGTAGCATTTAGTATCAGAATTGCCAATTATCATTTGTCAGGAGGCTCCAAAATAGACCTTGGAGATGTTTTCAAGTAGTAGTGATACATTCCGCAGTACATTGATGGTCTCTCTCATCATGTAAGAATAAATAGAATCAAGGATATGCTACTATAGGCCCATATAAGATACCAGAGGGAGGGTATGTGTTTTTTATAGTGACTGTTCAGGTTGTGCCCATAAGAACGTAAATGTACGGGTGGATCACCTGAGGTCAGGAGTTCAAGACCAGCCTGACCAACATGGCAAAACCTCATCTCTACTGAAAATAGCAAAAATTAGCCAGGTGTGGTGGTAAGCACCTGTAATCCCAGCTGAGGCAGGAGAATCACTTGAACCTGGGGGGCAGAGGTTGCAGTGAGCCGAGATCATGCCACTTCACTCCTGCCCTGGGTGACTCCATCTCAAAAAAAAAAAAAAAAAAAAAAAAAAGAAAAGAAAAGAAATGTAGACCTAGAAGCAGTTTGACAACTCTAGTTATTAAGTCAGGTGTGATTGTCTTAAATCTGGAATTGAATCTTAAAATCGTTTCGCTCAATGTTTTGGCAGTATCATAGGAAGAAAACATACCTGCTTATTCTTACCAACAAGAATACTTGATTTTGATTCAGGTTTTCTAAATTTAATTATTAACCTGTAGTTTCCACATATTTTGGTATATTATTTCAGTCTGTTTTCTAAACATAGTAGCCTATAGCTTCTGGCAATTCATTGTTACTGTTTTTTAAATCCTTTGCTGCCTTTGGAAGTTTTCTTGAACAGCAATTGACCAACAGGTAAATATATTGCTAGAGATTTAATCCTGAATATTAACTACACAGATTTTTTGCATGTATACACATCATATTCGTTATATTTATGATGTAGATCATAGTGTCTCCATTTCCTGTGATGCTACTTTTTAGAAGCTACTAAATGCAAGTGAACTATCCTTTTTCACGTTTAAGTCAGATGAAAGCTTATGAGATTACACATTTAATCATAGTTACAGATTCATTTTTCACTTATGAATAAAGCAGTTTCCAAAAAAGTGACTTTAGACTGTCCAAAGGTAGTCAGTTATCACAAATGATTGCTCACGGTTACAGATCGAACTCCTTGCTCTTCTCTTTTCAGCCATCACTACTGCACTTGACTAGTCTGAAGAAAATAATAAAAATTTCAAAACTAAAAAAAATTTTAAAAGTTTTTAAGTTATCACTTTGGACTGTATTCCAGAAGTTAAGGTTTGATCACAAGAAAAGCGTAGCTTATTGTACAGGGCTTATCATTATGTTTCTTTATTATTTAATAAAAAAACAAAATTCTGTTGTCCTAATTATTTGTTTCTTTCTTCTACTCCTAAAGATTCCCATTCTAGAAATAAAATTGAAGATCCTTCCAGTTCTTGGAGTACTAGGTGGAGTAATATTTTCCTGTTCAAATTATTTCCATGTTATCCTCCATGGTGGTGTTGGCAAGAATGGATCCACTATAGCAGTAAGGCATTAATGTCATCATTCAGTATTAATTTTATAATAAATTACTAATTTTATATATAAATTATTAATTTTATAATAAAATTTCCTATCACCAGCTTTAAGATTAAAATAAGCCAAAGTTCAAGAATAGGGAGGGAAACTAAGTATCTTAAAAAATTCAATTTAGGCACATAAATACAAAAGCAGTTTAAAAATAGTTTAGACTGATAAAATATTTTCCTCTTTCTACAGCCTTGCTCTGCATAGACTTTTCTGACATCTAGTTTTCATTACTGCACATAATTAGGAGTTGCCATTTGTTTTCCTGCATTTTATGCCTTGAACTAACGGGATAAGAGGAAGAGTAGGGAATGTATGAGTTTCTAATTGAAGGCAGGAAAGCAGCCAGAGGTCCATGGTTTCACATATGGGGTAATTTATTACTCATCACATAAATTTTATTGAAGTTTCACTGAAATATATTTAAAAGAACTAATATTTCAAAAGGTAAAATTGTTAACCTTAATTCTTAAGTGGATGTACTTTGTGCTGTGTTCTTTACACCTTGCTCATGCAAGTATTACATATAAACTTTTGTATTCATTTTTTAGAAAAAACTTCAGTACTTTTAAGCGGGAAAAAGTTGGGATTCCTGCCAACTTTTTAAACAAATACAACACTTACGTTTTTTAAAAGTCTATTATCATTTTCAAGGTAGTTGAACAGAAGAAGACAAATACTTCCAGTGATAGCATCTTATACCAAAACATTGTTAGAATGCCTTTTTTAGGGCATTAGATATAGCATTTTTAGAAAAAAGAGTCTCATTCTTTTAAAAGACTTATAAATTGATTTTCAAGACAATCTCAAAGGGATCCTCATAATTCATAAATTATCAATATTTATGAATACATTTTATATACATAATTCGAAAGCAAAGTATACAATTTATCTAGAATATATAAGTTCTGATATATTTGGAAAAGTTGTCATTTTTTGGGGTGTTTTGTCAGTTGATCTCAATGTACTACTGTGCTTGGGAATACATGTTGCTTGACCATGGATGATAACATAGATCATTAGTTGGAATGTAAATTCCACTGAAGAAAGCAAGATTTAGTATGATCATTGTCTACTCTAGAGAATATTTTCGTAAAAAATAACTGTTAGATGTTTGAAGGATGACTTAAACACAAGTTAGAAAGTGGTTGGTTTCAAACTCTTAAACTGGTGTTTTTTAGGAGCAGATTTTTTTTCTTGAGTGAAATCTAAGAACCATAATATAAAGTGCTATTAGATTTTTATAATTTATTACTGTATAGTATCTTATGAAAAAATTTTGTATTATACTGTTACTGTAACTTTATAGTAAGCTCTACCTTAAAACATGTACATTTAATAAACAAGAATAAAGCTGTTCTTGTGAACCCATTTAAACTGGTTGTAGATTTAATAACCTCAATACTAAACTTATTTCAATATTTTGTTTAGGATAAGCAGTGCTGAGAGGTTACTGATTCACATAGATAAAAATGTAATAATCTAGATTGTACAGTTTTACATAAAAGAACATCTGCAGTCTGAATGCAATAAAAAAGGAGGTGGGGATGTTGGTGTAGAAAGAAACTAGGATGGGCTGGGCGTGGTGGCTCACGCCTATAATCCCAGCACTTTGGGAAGCTGAGACCAGGAGGATTGCTTGAGCCCAGGAGTTCCAGACTGGCCTGGGCAACATGGGGAAACCCTGTTTCTACTAAAAACACAAATAATAGTAATAATAAGGGCCGGGCGCGGTGGCTCAAGCCTGTAATCCCAGCACTTTGGGAGGCCGAGGCGGGTGGATCATGAGGTCAAGAGATCGAGACCATCCTGGTCAACATGGTGAAACCCCGTCTCTACTAAAACTACAAAAAATTAGCTGGGCATGGTGGTGCGTGCCTGTAGTCCCAGCTACTCAGGAGGCTGAGACAGGAGAATTGCCTGAACCCAGGAGGCGGAGGTTGCGGTGAGCCAAGATCGCGCCATTGCACTCCAGCCTGGGTAACAAGAGCGAAACTCCGTCTCAAAAAAAAAAAAAACTAAAAAAAAAAAAAAAAAAAAAATAGTAATAATAATAAGAAGAAAATAGGGGGAAAAGAAGGAAACCTGGATAGAACTAAACTCTTCTTAATCAGTGATATTTTGCAGAATTGGCAGAATAAGCTTTATTTCAATATCTCCACAAAAATATGTTAATTTGGCAATCTACATGTGGATGGCCTTCTACATAGTAAAAGTTGAAGAATAAACTGCATTAATTTTTAGCCAGTTTAAAATGTGTGTGAATATCAAACTGGAATCAGACATGTGTGGCACTGTATTATGTCTCTGTCACCCTCAGGTTCTATGAAAGTTTGAAAAGCACAACTAAGGTTTGCATACTCCTGTAGGCCATACACTACATCACACACTGTTCTTTAGGTCTCTTGCACAAAATAGATGATTAGAAAATATCTGCATTGTAATAAATGCAGTGTTAAAATGTGATACTTATTTTCTGCTTTATCCCTTAGGGCACCAGTGTCTTGTCACCTGGACTCCACATAGGACTAATTATTATATTGGCAATAATGATCTATAAAAAGTCAGCAACTGATGTGTTTGAAAAACATCCTTGTCTTTATACCCTAATGTTTGGATGTGTTTTTGCTAAAGTCTCACAAAAATTAGTGGTAAGAAATTTTTATGATTCATGATATAAATAATGTACTTAGTCCTCAAAGACAAAGTTGGAAATTATTTCATACAATGTATAGGTTTTCTTTTGTGGTGTCAAAATCATAATAATTAGCTATTTGTGCTCCAAGCAAAACTGTGATAGGAGTTATGTTATATTCAGTTAAATTAATTGTTTAGCTGTAGTTATCATTTACAACTTTCTGTTATCAAGGAATTTAAACATTGGAAACTTTAATAAGCTATCCAGTCATGAATTTGAGAAGATGTAGAAAAGTATTTTTATATCAAATTGAGATTAAAAGGTCTGTTTTAATACTGAATTAAAGTTATAATTAATTCTGTCTTATAAAAACTAACACATTTAAAACTTAATAATAAAATTATTTTGTTTAATTTTTATAGATAGCTCACATGACCAAAAGTGAACTGCACCTTCAAGACACTGTCTTTTTGGGGCCAGGTCTTTTGTTTTTAGACCAGTACTTCAATAATTTTATAGACGAATATGTTGTTCTGTGGATAGCAATGGTAAGTATTTATTCTGCATTTTATTTATTTTTTTTAACAATGCTTAAGAATCATTTCAGTGAGATATCAGTAGCCTCAAGATCTAGTCTATAAAAGACACAGTGGCTCACACCTGTAATCCCAGCACTTTGGGAGGCTGAGGCAGGTGGATCACTTGAGGTCAGGAGTTCAAGACCAACCTGGCCAACATGGTGAAACCCTATTTTTCTCTACCAAAAAATACAAAAATTAGCCAGGTGTGGTGATGCATGCCTGTAATCTCAGCTACTTGGGAGGCTGAGGCAGGAGAATCATTTGAACCCAAGAGGCAGAGTTTGCAGTGAGCTGTGATCACTCCACTGCACTCCAGCCTGGGTGACAGAGCGAGACTCGGTCTCAAAAAAACAAATTAAAAAAAAATTAAAAAATAAAAAGATCTTGTCTATACAGTATATACAATAAATGTTTCTGAGTATTTGAAATTACTTCTCATAAGCTGTGAATAATTTTATATTGTGTGTAGAAATGGCCACATATCTATAGGCCAGGTTTCCAACAACCTAGATTCTTGGAAACACAACTGTGTACCTAAAAACAGCTATATATTTCTCCCCTCAAAAACCAATGCAAAAATGTCAAACACCACTTTACTGTGCCCAAAGGACTTTCTGACTTTATTTAATCAGGCTTATTAGAATATTCCCAGTTTACAGCAGGTAACAGGAAAATTAGATGGGATTAGTACTAGCAAAGGTGGCATTTTATTGCATTGAGAATTATCAGCAATTTGAGGAGACAGAACAGAATAGACAGTGCTACTAAGTACAGGATTCTGAGACCATTTTATGCCAAATGTAAGAAACTTTTATATGTGTATGGTCCTTGAAGATAGTGCATAATTTGTATTAATCATAATTCAGCCATAAATCAAATTAAATTCTCTTTGATTATATCCTGCTTAAGGATGTGGATAACATATGTACTAATTTCTATTCAAAATGATTGTAAAATACTGACTATAGTGCTAGAGAGGGACACATTAGCCATCCAGGGAAAAGAAAATCATTATTGGTAACACTTCAATTACAAAGTTGGATAAATGGAGAATTATTAAATTTTTTTTCTGTTACTGAGACATATGTTTATGGTTGGTCTTTAATTAATGGGGGCTTTGAATAGTTTTGTTGTATTTCTCTCTGTAGATCCCACTGGCCATCACCAAATTCAGAGTGATACATAAATATATTACAATAACAAAACCCACCAAAACCCTGTGGCGAATCTTTTGATAATTCAAATAATCTCACTATATTTGTTAGATTTGGATATTTGCGGTGGCTCATGCCTGTAATCCCAGCACTTTGGGAGGCCCAGGCGGGTGGATCACCTGAGGTCGGGAGTTCAAGACCAGCCTGACCAATATGGAGAAACCCTGTTTCTACTAAAAACAAACAAAAATTAGCAGGGCATAGTGACACATGCCTGTAGTCCCAGCTACTTGGGAGGCTGAGGCAAGAGAATTGCTTGAACCTGGGAGGCGGAAGTTGTAGTGAGCCAAGATCGCACCATTGCACTCCAGCCTGGGCAACAAGAGCAAAACTCTGTCTCAAAAAAAAAAAAAAATTTATCTGTTCTGTGCATCAGTTACAGGAGTACATCTGATGATCTTTCACTAGGTTGTGTAGTATGTTCTTTCTGGAGTAAGTTAATGACTTAATATTCATTCACAGTCCATTCAAAAGTCCTTCCTATGGTAGCAGTGAGGTATACTTAATTCTTTGAGTGGGACAATGAACATTTTCAGGTAAAATTTTTTAAAAAATGTTTAAAAACCCAAATAATTACCTTTAATATCCACTATAAATATTTTTTAGGGCTCCAAAACAATCCAGTTTTAAAATAGTAGGTAATTAATCAAAATATCTAAAAACTCAGTGCAAGTTTTCTTTTAGTGAACTTAGGTATGTATTACCAAGTAGAATTGTTGAATTAAAATATCAGATGTTAAAAAAATCAAGCATCTCCCGGGAACAGTGGCTCATGCCTGTAATCCCAGCATTTTGGGAGGCCGAGGCGGGCGGATCATGAGGTCAAGAGATCAAGACCATCCTGACCAACGTGGTGAAACCCCGTCTCTACTAAAACAAAAATTAGCTGGGCATGGTGGCGCGCACCTGTAGTCCCAGCTACTTGGGAGGCTGAGGCAGGAGAATTGCTTGAACCCAGGAGGCAAAGATTGCAGTGAGCCAAGGTTGCACTCCTGCACTCCAGCCTGGCACCTGGTGACAGAGTGAGGCTCTGTCTAAAAAAAAAACAAAAAAATCAAGCATCTGTTGTAACAAGTAATTGGCCTGGTTTACACCCATGATGGAGACTGGTAAACTGAGGAAGTCGAATTCAATTTTTCTTTAAAACACTATGTGGATGACAAAAAAAAAAAAAAGCCACACACACAAGGTGGGGGTAAACATGGTGCTTTCAGAGTAAGTTTTTAAAGTAAATGATAAGAGATTTTCCCTTCATGGGTGAGAATTCCCTCTCCAAGGGTAGAGCTATGAGGCTTCTATTTCACCTGCCTTTCATTTTCTGAAGAGAAGCATTTGACCATCGACTCTGGGCAAAGTTTCTAAATAGAGGCCCTCTTTAAATTTTAAAACACAATTTTGTATATGCCTCAAGTATGGTATCTTTTCTAGACCTTTTACCTTCTTACAACTTACCTCAAAGAAATAGAAATGTATATGACGGAATTAGTTCATTATAAGATGGCTGATAATTTGTGGCTTCATTGCACAGCAGAAAGTTGAAACAAGGTTGAGTCAGGAGACTTGGGTTCTAATACTTTCTAGCTTCTGTATTTTAGTCATCTTATTTAGTAGTCTTTTTTTACTTCTGAGCCTCAGTGTCTATAACTGTGAAATAACCTGCATTTTCCAGAAGACTACAGTGAGGTCCAAATATGAAATGTATTAATAATGTGCTTTAAAATGTAGTATTTTTGGTGAAGAATTTTAGGTTACATTTTGACATTTGAGGGAAAAACAGAATTGTGCTACTTAAGAAAAGACAGATCATAATCCATTTTATATTTTCTTTTTTACTTCTAAAGGTCATTTCTTCATTTGATATGGTGATATACTTTAGTGCTTTGTGCCTGCAAATTTCAAGACACCTTCATCTAAATATATTCAAGACTGCATGTCATCAAGCTCCTGAACAGGTTCACAAGCATATTGACTGACTAATAGCCCAAGGAAAAGAGGAGATGAAGTTAGGGGAATCTATGTATGAAGGAAATTCCCCTGTGCAGGAGGCTAGTATACTATCAAATAAGGTTATATTTGAATATAAAACATAAACCCTGCAGATTCCATTGTGTCTATTTCAGTTATGAAGCCCCCACTGTATTTATCACAGGTGTTCTCAGAATAATACAGTCTACATATTAATTAGAAACTAAAAAAAGAAATTTCAATCCTGAGTACAAGAAAGTGAAACCCTGTAATTCTAAGTAGCAGTTTGTTTCTGAGACTTATCAGACACAGGGTTTTCATGGCCAAAGGATTACATAAATATTTAGAACATAAAGGATTTTAGCCATCTTGAGGGTGCTTACTTTGATTGCTAAAAACTGAAAAGTGAGCTCATAATACTGCTTAAGTGCATGGATTATAATATTTTAATTATTGAGTCATGTGATGTTATAAGAAATTTTTTTATACTAGTCATTTTTCAAAAGAGGCATGTTAATTAGTATGTTATAATAGAAAATACTTGCTTTAGTATACTAGAATTTAAAAGAGCTACAGGAATTTTAAAAATAAAGTTTGTATTTAATAAAAGGAATTTGTTGTACCAATTCAGAAAAACATATGAATCTTTACACTGAAGGTAACTTGTTCCTTGATATTTTCAGTTAAAATTTCATTGTCACCAAAAAGTGAATGTTAAATATTCCCTTTTATGAAAAATGAAACAGTAGCTAAAAGTTAGTTGACATGTAAGAAAATTAGTAACTTAGAAAAACATGGTAAAAAATATCTTCCCTTTAGGAAGCCAGTTATTTCAAGTACACACTCATTTGATGTGATAAGGGATAAAATAAGTAAAAGTTATTCAACCAATAAGTACATTAGGTACTGATGCTTATCTTTCCACTCTAATTTAAATGCATTTAGGTTACTCATTATGAATACCACTAGAACTGTCACAAAGATCTGGGGATCCAAATCTTCAGAGTCCCATCTGACCCTATTTTTAATTTCATATAATAGTTCAGTAGACCATATGCCATATGATGAAGTAATCAGAAAAAGGAGTAATGAACATGTGTTACATTTGTTTTAGGCAAGAAAAAGGCATATTGAAGAAAACAGCAAAAAATATATATATTTATGTGAATTAAGTATACAGAAAATACTGGAGTACTTATTTTGCCTCTAACTATTGGTAAAACTTCTCAAATAAGGATTTTCTTACAAGGATGAATAGCACTTAAGATTTACATTCCAATATATACTTTGGCTTAAAAGGAAAATCCTTTACAGAGCTCAAAAATTTAGGAAGTAATGTTAAATATTCGTAAATGGTGGAAGACTAATTTCTTCCTGTACAAGTAGGTTGTCACAGTTATAAAAGTTTGTCTGTATACACCTTTTTTTTAAAAAATTGGAAAACCTTGTAACTAAAATAAGAGTAGGTTATAGAGGCAAAAATGAGAGGCAAAACCCTGTCTCTACTAAAAATACAAAAATAAGCCGGGGGTGGTGGCAAGTGCCTGAGGTCTCAGCTACTTGGGAAGCTGAGGCAGGAGAATTGCTTGAACCTGGGAGGCGGAGGTTGCAGTGAGCCAAGATTGTACCACTGCACTCCAACCAGGGTGATAGAGTGAGACTCTATCTCAAAAAATAAATAAAAACAGATGTGGTATACTTGAACCATACTTAGATATGTTAATGATGTGCTCTTAATTTAATGGCAGACTAAGCCCAATTAAGTGACATTTTGATGTCTTTGTGGCAATGACATATTCACAAATCCATGTCTTAAAACTGATATTTGTATATTGTTCTTTTGCTAGTGATTTCATGTTCAGAGGTGATTTTAGCAATTTATTCCAGAACACAAATTTAAATGCAGCTTATTGTCATTAGAAGTGGCTGTATAACTTAAGTATATAGAAAAGGATGTACATGTAAAACAGATTTTGTATTTTTTTTCCCTTAAAGAATAGAACCTTCTATATTTTCTATAGAAGCGTTTTCTACCTTTTGAGATTAATACAAATACAATGAAGCCAAACCTAAAATTAAATTGTCTTTATTTAATTGACAGTGTTAAGAGAGAAAAATTCACTATCATTACTAAAGAGCTGAAAACTCAAGACATATTCTTTAGGAGTAGTTGCTAACTCACATAACTGTTTAGATTTGACTTAACCGAAAGAGAAGTCTTACAATGAAACAGATTTATTATTAAAGATGTTATAATTAAGCTACTAAAGACTCACAATATGCTTCTTAGCTAATATAATTGTATCATATTACTTAGGTTCAAGTTCTTTCTTCAAAGAGTCATCAGAATAACATGGATTGAAGAGACTTCCGAACACTTGCTATCTCTTGCTGCTGCTGTTTCATGGAAGGAGATATTAAACATTTGTTTAATTTTTAGTTAAGTATTATACCTATTTCAGCAAATAAAATATTTCATTGCTTATATTAATCCTTATTTTTTCAATTTCAATATGATCACTTACAGTTTCCATCATAATTTTTTTCTGCAACATAGCCATTTCTTTTTTAAATTCATTTTGTGCACCAGTAAGTAGATTATCATGATTCTTCTCCAACTCTTCCATACTCTAAAAACACAAAAGACTAGTTAAGCTACAAAGAACCACTTTTTATCTCAGGTTCTAAACTTGTCCAATTAATTTTCAAAAGTAGTAATTTAAAAATATTCAAATGCTTATTACTTATTTGAAATAAAAAATATTCTAACACATGAATACCAAAATACCTACTATAAAGGAAAAAAAAATCAGTCGTGAATAAAATATTATGAGAAGTACAATATAGTATATTTTGCCCAAAATGGGTTTCATGAACTGTTAAGGTCAAGATAAAAAAGACTGGAAGTCCCATATCAGTAAACACCATTGCTATTAAGCTTTCCAAATATCAAGTAATAATGTACTTATGACTAATAGTGTGCCATTAATTCACTAGAGGGAATAAAATAAACTGTAGTACTACCTCTTTCAAGTTGTAAAAAATAAAAATTATGTTTTACATCTTTATTATTCATGCAACAAATAGTTAATCTAGTGCCTACTATATAAAAGGCGCTATATTAAGCGCTGTGCAGAAATTAAAAATAATAATACATGACTGCTTCCTGATGACAACAAGAAAAAAACATAGGAACAAAACAAAAATTTTATAATAGGAATAGAAACACAACTTGTTGTGGCTATATAGTGGAAAATGGAGATTAATTCCAATTCAGTTGGCAAAACACTAAGATTTCAATAGAGAATAAGGAGTTAAAAATATTCTAGGGGAAGGGCAGAAGCATGGAAGTGAGTTGAAGGAAAGCAATTATATGGAAGGGTAGGGTAATGGATAAATGTAGTAAATGAAACTTAAAAAGAGGGTCATGTCATAGGGGGATCTTGAACTTAGAATGGGAGGCTACTGACAGTTTTCAAGAAGGAAGAAATACAGTTTTAAAAGATAACAGATCTAGGAAGGATAGATTGGAGAATAGAGAAATCAGTTAAGAATTTTAATGGTACGAGCAAATAATAATGAAGTTCTAAACTAGGGTAGTAGCAGTGGGAATTAAAAGAACCACTGCAGAGGTAAAAATTACAGGGCCTAGTAATAACTGGATGTAACAGAGAAAGGAGATGGAGGAATTAAAGGTTATACTATAGTTTCTACCCTAAATAGTAACATTTAGTGATAACATTTAGAAGAAACCTTTATCTAGTACTTTATCAAAACTTTGCACCAATTACCAAATGGTTCAATATACTTTTTTTATACTTGTTGGCATTACAGCAAGCCATCAAGTTTTCCATTTGGAAATACTTTTAAAAATAACGTGTGTGTGTGTATAATTTTTTTTTTTTTTTGAGACAGGGTCTTGCTGTTGCCCAGGCTGTAGGATTTCGGCTCACTGCAACCTTTGCCTCAAGGGCTCAAGCAATCCTCCCACCTTAGCCTCCCAAGTAGCTGGGACTACAAGTGAGTGCCACTATGCCCAGCTATTTTTTTCATTTGTTTGGTTTTTAAATAGAGATAGGGTTTTGTCATGTTGCTCAGGCTGGCCTTGAATTCCTGGGCTCAAGTGATGCTTCCACCTTGGCCTCCCAAAGTGTGAGCCACTGTGCTTGGCCATATATATTATTTTGAAATATTTATTTTAAAACAATTTGACTAGTTTACTCAGAATGTCCCAATTCCTTTAATGTCATTTTAACATGTATTTGAACAAGAGTATTAAAGGAACCACCACTGAAAAAAAGTTTATGCAAGATTCCATTGAGCTTCCGTGAATAGTTACTAAAAAGTATACTTCTGCCCAAACAAGAGGGGTACAGACTACAATTTGCCAATATGTATGTGTCAGTAGATAATTATCAATCCAGGCTTTTAATCCTCAGATGTATATTATATCGATTATTTTATGTTGGTATGTAAATTCATTTTTGGTCCCTGTAATAATTCTAAAAGCAAATATGCCATAAAATACTTCTATAATACATTTGAAAACAAGAGACTTCAATAATTTGGGTACTTTCTATTTAACAAATGCTGGGGATACAATAACAAGTAAAACGCAACCTAAAAATGATTACTATAGACTCTATTTACAGTTAAACAGAGAACTATGACTAAAGTGTTACTAAAATATGAATTTTATGCATTATAAGTACATTTCTAAGTAAAATTCCCAATTTACCATTTCCTGTCTTGAACAATCCCAACAAAACCATCTGAATCCTAAAGTAAAAATACATGTATCACTTAAATCAGAAACAATGAATTCAAAATGGAAAAGCAGTTAAAAATCTAAAACAATTTTTCCATAAACTTAGAAATAATTATCTTTTACATCCATAAATATGTTTTATAACAATGTATTGTGTTGCCACATACAACAAACCTTTATGAACTGCTCATATAACTGTCTAATTGTTTTCAGTCTCTGGCTCTGAACAATTCTAGATTGTTGAAGAATCTTTTGTTGCTGCCGAAACATATTCTACAAATATAAAAGAAAAAAACTATGTAGTAACAATTTGGGTAAAATTTTAAATTTAGAAAAAGTAATTCTATATTAAACTTAAAAGAAACTTTTAAAAATCAGAGCTTTTAAAATTTTAACAACTATTATGACCATGTTTAGATAATTTGTGTTCACCACTGATATGCAACAATATATTAATCCTACCAGTTGCTGAAAGGGAAATTTTAACAATAATCAAGACATTCTTGGTGATTTCAATGTCCACACAGATGATCCTTCCAATAATAATGGTCTCTCAGTTCTTTGACCTGCTTCCCAATGATTTTGTCCTCCACCCTACTTTAGCCATTGACTTACATACTCCTACCCCAGATTTTGTCATTACCAATAACTCTAACCACTACACAGTATTAATAATGGTAAACTTTTTGAGAGATAGATACTCATCATTCCCCTTTCATAGATGAGTTAACTGAGGCATAATCTGTCCATGGCTTCACAGCTACAATTGTTCAAACAAGAATTTGATCCCAAACAGTATTGTTTCTGGCATCTAGGATCTAACCATTATACATACTGTTTCTCTATATGTCCTAGTATTTAACCACTAGTTCTTTACCATTCTAACTTACTCTCTTTAGTACTACAGTTCAATAATATATCTGTACCATAAATCCATCCTGTCTACTTTCCTATCACCTCTACCCCAGTTTCCTTACTGGCAGGTAACAAATCCGGCCATTAAGTCAACAATGTTCTGACTACAGATGTCCCTTGGTATCCTGGGGGAACCAGTTCCAGGACACTCAACCCCTCAGACCAGAATCTGCAGATGCTTGAGTTCCTAATATAAAATGCATCATGTTTGCATATAACCAATACACATCCTTCCACATACTTTAAATCATTTCTAGATCTCTTATAATACCTAACACAATGAAAATGCTGTATAGTTGTTACACTGGATTACTTTTCCAGTTTGTATTTTTTTTCTTTTTTTTTTTTTTTTTTTTTTTAAGAAAGTGTCTGGCTGGAGTGCAGTGGCACCAACTCAGCTCACTGCAACCTTCGCCTCCCGGGTTCAAGCTATTCTCCCACCTCAGCCTCCTAACTGGGATTACAGGCATGCACCACCACAGCTGGCTAATTTTTGTTTTTAGTAGAGACAGGGTTTCAGCATATTGGTCAGCCTAGTCTCGAACTCCCGACCTCAGGTGATCCACCCACCTCGGCCTCCCAAAGTGCTGGGATTACAGGCATGCGCCACCACACCTGGCCTCTTCCAAATAGTTTTCATCTACAATTGGTTGAATACACAGATAGGGAACCTACACATACAGAGCGCTAACTATACAATGACTGGTTCAATAGGCAAATGATTCAAATTACGTCAGTCATATTTTTCCAGAGGAATTTTCTGCCAGAGGTATTGAGAAAGATTTTCTCAGTCCACTGGGGTTACTAAACTTGTAATAAGCCTAGGACTGTAAAAACTATCTTGCTTACTACATCGAGACACCTTACTGAAAACTGATGACAGAACCCAGATGACACTACATGAGCAACCCCTTCCCTGTTCCCATCCACCTATGCCTGAAGCTAAACTGTCCCAACTTCTTTTATATAAACCTATAATCCTTCTTTTGTACGCTGACAAATTTCTGTCACTTGGAAATGCAAGAATCCCAACCAATATAAGAAGCAAAGACCAATGACTTTTATGAGTATGGTATGTGCTTCTACTTCCGTGGTTTACAGTTCAGCAAGACTAAAACACATGGCCAACAATGGTTAATGAAACCTGGCTCAGTTCCACTGGTCATAGTAAAAGGCTAGGTTCTCCATTCCTACTTGAGACTCGGTTATAACAGATTAATTGTAAATCTAATCATGATACCAACAAGTATTTTTTCTTCTTGTTCCTCAGCTTTCTGCATATCTAAATCCCACTGCTGAAACAAAGTCAGAAACTGCTGAGAATATTCTTGGTTAAGTTTCTGCCTGTAAAACATAATAATTAATTATTATTATATTTCATACCAATATAAAAAGAATTTAAAACAAAACCAAGTTGACCCATTTTTACTACATAAAAGAAGGAAATATCTGCAGCTTAAGTCTTCTGATGGGAAACCAAGAAGTGAAGTTATGATTTACACCGATTCCAGAAGTATTTTTTTCTAACAAGCTAATAGAAGAAAAGCCCTGTCATAAGCTTTAGCCCTTGAAAACTAAGTTTTATTGTATACATAAATTTTCAAAAAGAAATTTATCTTATCTCCAGTTTATTTTTCCTTTTTTTCCTAATGAATATACATTCTGATAAAACAAATAGATTAAATAAAATGATTGTATTTACCTATAAGATTTCTAAATAGAAATATTTCTCTTAGTTTTTTCCCTGTTTTGGCTTAACAAAGATTTTGTACAAGAGTTAAGTCAGCTAAAACATACAAATTATATACAATATAAGGCTGGTGTTTTTCTATGTTGTTGAACATAATTCACCATCATAAGACTAATGGTTTTTATGACATTTACCTTTTATTCAACTAGTGTATTCCTAGAATGAATATAAATTACTTTTAGGCTGGGAGTGGTGGCTCATGCCTGTAATCCCAACACTTTGGGGCGCTGAAGTGGGAGGATTGCTTGAGCCTAAGAGTTTAAGACCAGCCTGGGCAACACAGTGAGACCTCATCTCAAAAAAAAAAAAAAAGAAAAAAAGAAAGAAATTACTTTTATAACTTCAATTCTTAACCAAAAGGAAAAAAAGTGATCTTTCCAGATTTTTTAGGAAATATATGTCAATTCTATGAAGAAGTGAGGTTATAGGGCTAAAGGACTATCATACTTAGAGAAAAATCAAGCCAAATGCATTTTCATTAGAAACCCCAATAACTAGAATATAATTTTTCTTTTCTTTTTTTTTGTAGACGGAGTCTCACTCTGTTGCCCAGGCTGGAGTGCACCAGCATGATCTCAGCTCACTGTAACCTCTGCCTCCTGGGTTCAAGCAAGCACACCTGGTTAATT